ATATGAGGAGAATGTGCACAGAGTTGCTTGTAATAAAAAAGAAAAATAGACAAAAAGTGGCGACGCATTCGTCATGAGCTCTGTCAAAAAGACAAAGCAGTAGCGGAATAATCTGTTAAAATCCGGCCTGTCACACTTCTTCAATCCATTTTAAGTTCCATTTACACGCTACACAGATTGAGTTTTGTAGATTTAGAAATGATAAGCAGTCAAGTTATGAAATGGAATGTAGCCTGAGCATGCAGTGATGTTTTTTGAGTGAAATGAGACCCGCAATGTTTGCATTTAACAGAATTGAATCCCTTTTGTCGATTACGTTGGGCAATTAACATTTAAGTTGTTAAGTTGGGCATTTAACCATTTATTTATTATAAGCGACTCTGTGCTTTGCCTTTCAACAGGAAAATTAATCATTTATTTATGGCGCCGACCTGCTTATATACTTAATGTTTCTTTCTCCGTTATAAAATTAATTTAATGTACAAAGCAGTTGTAGGAACTGAATAATTGCGAAAAAATGAAAGAAGAGAAACTCAAAAATATTAATCGAGTGAAAAATTGTGAAAAATTAAAAATATTTCAAATAAAAAGAGCGTTTGTATATAAAATCATTATTTTAGATCTATAGTTGGTTATAAAAAACCATTTAAAACAGGCATTATTTTTTGATTAATTAAATGATGGAGACGAGTGAAAAAAATAACAATATCTTTTATATATATTTTTATATATATTAATAAAGTATTTAACATGCCGAAAACTGCATAAATTGCGTCAAAAAAGTGGAGGTTACAGTTATTACAAACATTCATTATATATTGTTTTTGAAAAATTTGAGTTTAAAATTAAACGCTCATACTATACATTTTTTTTTATAACAAGAAGCAAATGATAAATTAAATTCATATATGTATTCATATATATATATATATATTCTTAAATCTTAGCATAGAAACGGAGGCTATTGGAAAACAAAATTTTATTTTTTCAGTTTTCAAGAACGCTTGGAAATTATACATCAATCAAATCGTTATTAGGATAATTTTGTTGTTCTCCATTGCTAACGTTTTTATTTATATTATTTGGGTATCGAACGATATGTTAATAACGAAGGCGTCAAGGAAGAAGAATCGGAAACAATCAGGAAACCATTAAAAGAAAGGAAACCTTTAAAAAGAATAACAATTTCTTTTATATATATATATTTTTTTTTACATGTACTAACAAAGTATTTTAAATGTATAATAAAGATATTATATGAATAAAGCTATTTATTTCATTTATATTTAAATATAAATTATATGAATTAATATATAGCAACAGGAAAGGCCAGTTTGGTTTTCCCAATGACAAATGTTAGACGATGGGTTATATAAAGTAGTATTTATTTCTTTGAACTAGTCCAAGTACGTTTTAAGCCCGATAGCCGCCCCCTCTTTGGTCGGTTTGCCATTGATACTGGGTCGTTATCTTTTTCCATTTCCTGAACTGGCAATTTCCTATTGACGCCTGGTGTACTTGTCTCCACAGCATTTTTAACAAACTCTCCTAATTCTGGTGTCGGTTTGTCGTGAGTTTCTATTTGGGTCTCACAGAGTTGGGGTGGCCTATAATTAAATTTTGGGTTTGATGACAACAAATGCTTTTTACGAAATTTTGGGACATTTAAAGTCGAATGCCCGGTTTGTTTGGATTCATCATTTGTGTCATCGGCTTGTTGGCATAAAAATTGCTTTGAATTATTTTGAGGAAGAACCTATTTTCCCATCTCTTCACTTCCTTCATTGTTTTCAACTTTTATATTAGACTTTTTCTCAGTTGCTGATAATTTACTGCTACAGCTGGAGTAATCTCTTTCTCCTTTTTCTTTCCTGCTTGTTAAAGATGTTTTTAAGATTTTTTTTTTAGGCATCATCTTTTGCTTTTTGGAAATAACTTTATTTTTTATAGATAATAAACTATCCTCAAAATCATCATTGCTTTGATGAAATTCATTTAGCAAGGCTTCCATACGTTTTTTCCCTTTCTCGGATATTAGCACATTCTTGCCATTCGCTGTTTGAAAACTCGCAGAAACAAGCGAACTTTCAGGATTATTCACCTTGCTCACTTCATCTCGACTCACTTTACTTTTCACTTCTTCCCATTCGTTTTCAATAAAAATTTCATTCAGGCCAACTGTGTTTTTACCTACTCCCAACTCAGGCCGTTCTCCGCTAGCTTTTTGAAGTCCTAATGCAACATTAGTTTCTCTCAGCACCAAGCTCTTGGAGTACCCACTAATATTGTGTCTGTGTTTACCTTTAAATCATTTATTTATTTATTTATTTATTTATTTATTCTACTTAAACTAGAAACTCAACTAAACAAATAACAGTCGAGTTCAATTGGCTCTTAATGCAAATCTTATATTAATTAATAATAAAATTTAGTATAAGTATAATAAAGCCAATCAAAGTAATAATAAAATGATAAGCATGATAAAATGTAAGGAATATCAATGCCCTACCCTGGGTTATCTGCTCATTTACTGGGAACTTAGACGTATGGGGAAAATTGTTGTTCATCTACTATCTCAGTTTCACACTGATTAGATGGCGCCAAAGCTGAAAAATTTTAAATTAACTTAAATTAACTTAAATGTTGTGTCTTCACAAATTTTAAAAACAACTTACTTTGATTTACGTTGTAAGTGTCCTTTTTCTCGATATCGTCAGAACCTCGATCTAAAGCTTTTCCTAAAAAGAATGTACAAAGTTAGGGTTGTTAAAAAAAGCCTATAAAGAGTCACTTACTTTCTGGCGTAGGATCGTATAAAAGAGCCAATTTTGCCTTTTCTCTAAATTCACGGCTGTAGTTTTTCTTAGGTTTACCCCGTAAAATAAATAAAGGGGACCGTTCCAAATTCTTTAACTTTCTCTCGGGTGATACTGTTAAAAGGCGATGTAGAAAAGTCCTCAAATATTATATCCACAATTGTTTTCTTTTTTGTTGTCATTATGATCTCCTTCTTCTGATGCGTTTATGTTTTTTACTTCTTTCATCGAATCTTCCGTTTTATCACAACATTCGATTAACTCTTCATCAGCGATATGAAATTCACTTTCAGCAGACTGTGATAGTAATTCATGACTGCTGTAAATTTATGAGATGCTGTTAAATTGTCAAAATTGCTTATTGTCGTCTGCACATAAGGCCGAGAATCCACTAAGGACATTATTTCATCTTCGTATCGACCCATACTTTTTTCTAAAGCGATATCTTTTTGAATTACCAATGTTTTCATTCAACTTTGGGGATTCTACTTTCTCAGCCCTTTTTCAAATTCAATATTTTGATTTTTAATTCTTCTTGTTCTTCTTCTTCTATATATATTGTTGTTGCCGTTGCTTATCGTCAAGATGAACTATCACAAGAGATGCAAATCAAAGTAGTAAAAAACAATAACAAAATAGTATTATTATTACTATTATTATATTATTATTATTATTATTATTATTAATTTCGCCAGAGAAATAATTATATTATTATTATTATTATTAATTTCGCCAGAGAAATAATTAATTGCAAGCAACTCTGTGCACATTCTTATTCTTTTTGTTTAATTGTATAACATTAAACAAAGGCAACATCGAGAAGAGAGGATTTTATAATAATATAAATAAAGAAAGACAATAAAATAATGTAGTACCGTCTTTGCACACCTTGTGCTGCTGCTAGAAAAGCCATTAATGCACCAGGCGACATGTTCTCAGTGGACATAAGATGCCCACCCAGATAGCACCAAACCATTCAAATGGAAATTTGTTAAGCCTTGGAAGATTGTTTCGACTATTGTTCTGATACAAGGAATATGGCTAGCGTAATTATTGTTGTCAAACATTGCTAAAGAACGTCAGTGCAAAGAATATGAGACCGAAATACAAGAGTTGAGCGGAAAAATCAAAAATTCTGTGGACCAACAACAAGATGGAGAAGAAATTAAACTACCATCTCTGAAAAAAGGAGAAATTGCGCGAAGGAAATCAGAACTTGACTCTACCAAAAGAAACAGAAGCTTTAAAAGTTTCAAACCTTAAATTACGGGATTTGGGTATCAATAATGAGCAATTGCGGAATGCATATGCGTGAGACTAAATAAAAGGAATAGGGTTGCAGCCCCACTTGTGAGACTTATTAGGCAAATATTGCTTATAGCGCGCGTTATCTTTTTCAGGGGGTACGAGTAGTCCCTTGTTAAAAATAAACCTTTTTGTGTACGCATTGGCTGGTCTTTTTATTGTAATTTGACCAACACAAATATAATTTATTCTGCGAAGTGCTCCAAAATGGAAAAAGAGTCTCGATATCAAAGGAACTAAAATCCATCAGGGGATATCGCTTCGATTTTTAGATAAAACATTAAGCCAGTATACCAAATTTCATTAAAATACCTCAAAAATCGGAGCCAGTAGGTTGAACATACAAAAACAAGACGAACAGACGGACAGACAATCTTAGCGCAAATTCAAACACCTCCGATTCTGAATCGAATTGGTACAGTAAAAGATGCAGATAGACAGACAAGCTTCGATCGGTGTAGCAGAAACTTGGCCTGTCTTAATCCGTTCTGCGTGCGCACAAACTTAGTATGGCCTGTAACACAACAAGTGGTACAGGGTATGAAAAGCTGATGATTTTCGCTCTTTTTGTCATTTTGGGCTTTGCAATGGAATTTTAAATTAATCCGATTCCCTTCGTTGCTTTTTCGATCTTAAAATTTTTGTTAGTTGAAGCAACAACAAGCGTTCATCAACTATTTTAAATCATTTGTGAATGTTTTTGAATAGAAACTGTGAACATCAACTCGAATTTGAACATCCTTGAATAAACTGATATTCTTAGTTTCGCAACGAAAGATGCTAGATTTCTTTTCTGTAGCCCGGGACTTAAACAATTTATTTTATGTAAATGTTTATAATCGGTTTTTGGTCTTGACCAATCTTGACTTTGAAAGCATCTTTTGTATTTATTTTCCTTTTTATTCTATTGTTTACGTAAGCCGTATGTGCGCTCATTAAGTAATAAACTGTGTCGTGGATGTATTCCTGTTCGTGTGTTTTGTTTGTGTATGCGTGTATGTGATGAATGTATTTAGGGTGTTTGTGAATCTCTAAATATGTACATAATTTTATGTAAGGTGCTGTTAATTAATCTGAATACGAATGCTAACGCTGCCGAGTATATACATATCGTTATTGCTACGCCTTCATTGTTGTCGTCATCATCATCATCATCACCACCATCGTTTCTTTCATCGTGCTATTGCTATTCAAGGCTAATGCTATTTTGGCCCTGTGATGGACATCATCGTGTCATCGCTTCCTACGACTAAATCATTTCAAGCATATTTCATCTATCCACCTTTTTAATAGGCACGAACGTTGTTATTTTTCCTTTTATTGTCCTATTTTTAGACACGACCATTGTTTGCGTAAGGGTGTGGATTGTGATCGCCTCCCCCAACCATTTGTCGCAACATTTGTGTATCTTGACAAGCCCGTTGTTGCTGCGCTCCTTGTGATTGTTGTTGTTGTTGCTGCTGCTGAGAATCCTCTTTATTACGTCCCGTCGACGTATTGTTACCACGCTGTATGGTACGGTCTTCATAACGGGTTCGACCTTGTGAAGCCATAGGCCGGTTTAAAGTACTATTCGAGTTATTCGGTGAATGTGCTGAAGCACTGTGAGAATCGATGAATTTGGTAACGAAATCCTGTTCTTTCCAACCATGCTTTTTGTACACATCACGTAGTTCATGATGTTGCCACATTGTAAACAAGACCTGACTAGCAAACTTATTCACACAGTTTGTATATTTTTGGCGTTGACTGGTTATATTCATAAGGCGTTCTACACCGCCGGCATCTAAGAGCGAACGCGAGAATTCCGCATTTTTCTTGATCACCTCATTAATGGTAGCCAATACGGCGGTTATAGTGTCGTCCGATGTATTTTGATCATGTTGTGGATTGCCCGACGGCAATTTTTGCACCAAATCACGCATAGCATATTTGCCAATGAGTTCCTTATTACGCTGATCTATAGCTAAATTTCTTAAAGCGGTGGCAACAGCACACACAACTCGATCCACTTCCATTCTTAACAATTCCACTAAAATTGGCAGACCTTTTTCCTTACGTACTGCAGCTCTAATATCTATGCTTGGCTGCCAATAGCAGGCTGATAAGTTTTGTATAGCACCGGCGGCCGCCTCTAATGTTTCGGGATTGGAACAGCTCTGTAATAGAGCCAAATAGTATTGCACAACTTCCGGTTGCCATAAGTGTTCATAGCCTTTCAGGGGACCTCTATTGACGGTCACATCGGCAGTATTTTTGGCCGCACCAGCATGTCCCACAGTAGCAAGAGCACTTTCGTTTTGTTCACTTTGAGCTTGAGCCTTTTTCTTTTTACTAGTGCCGAAACAACCAAGGTTCTCTCCTAGAAATTCGAAAAAGCTGTAATTAGATGACCATTTGAGAAAGAACATAAATTTAAATGTACCTTTGCTGGAGGATAAAGCCCGCGTGGGTACCGCGTTCGGTTGCTTATCGTAGTTGGGATCCTCAACTTCCTGGCAGCGATATGAAAGATTACGCAATATACAAACACAGTTTTCGACAGTCTTGTTGCTGATGTTATTCTTCTCAATCGCTTGTCTTACAACATACAACAGGCACTCGACTAAATGGTCATAATTACGCAGTTGAGTGCGTGCATATTCGCCGGCCGAGCTGACGTTACGCAAAACGCCGGAAGCATTGCGAAATACGGTGGAAAAACATGTATCACCGGGACAAACGGGGTCCCAGCCGGAATGTGGATGAATAATATTACTAACAATGGCAGCCAAACATTCATCAATGATATAACGTTTGATATCCTCACATGAAGACATATTCCATAAGACACCCGTCACTAATTCCCTGACTTCAGATTCTTGAGTGCGGCACAATAAATTAACAAGAGCGGCCAGGCCACCGGCGTTTTTAATTTCACGTTTGTTTTCATCATTTTGACGACCATAAGATAAATTACGCAAGGCTCCGCACGCATTTCTGCAAAATATCAGTTAAATAATTTTATTGCAATGAAATCTTAAAAATCATTTTAAACTTACTTGTAAATCTCTGGCGCTTCATAGGAGAGCAACCTTATTAGTGGCGGTATACCTCCTAGAATACGAGTTCGTTGTTTTATGGGATCGTCCATGTAACATAAATGCTGTAGATAGGCAGCCGCGTTCGCCTTAATGGCATTATTCGGATTATTTAAAAAGCTGATGACTTCCGATAAATTTGGGTCACGCCATCGCATAGTCGAGCATATATCGCTACAAGAACCATCAACTAATTCATCTTTGCCTCCATTACGCATATGTTGTGAAACGACACCAAATGAACTGATGGTTAGCTGCGACATTTTATTTTGAAAATCATGAGGATCTTCAAAGGCCTGCGGAGCAAGGCCCATGGCACTAGCGGCTTCAGCACCATTACGATTATCATCGAACATTGACGGTCTCGCCCCGTAAGCATTTGTCTTGGCACTCACTGTCGGCATCACGTAATTAGCTTCTGATACGTAACCATAGGCCACAGGCGAGTCCTCAGCATATTGACCATCTGAAGGAAATGGCATTACTGGATTTATACCGTACTCGGACATTTCCTCATATTGTGTGGGCTGTATGTAACGTAGGGTGGGCATCATGGCTGCTTGATCGGTAGGCAGCCCCACGGGATTACTCAGCTCTTGTACAGAGCTAGTCAAATTATTTTGTGAGCCTATAATTTTCGCAGCCGAACTATGCTCAGTGCGATATGAGCACTGTGAGCCAATACGGGAAACAGCCACACCGGCTGGTGCTTTAGTCGCATACAACGGTGCATTCGGATACACTGTCGTATACTGACCGTAATCTTGCAGGGCTGTGTTCTGGCCATCGAAATCGGCTTCATCAGATATGCATACTGAAGGCTCCATACCGTGTTAATATTTAAAGTACTAAAACTTAAAAAAAAAAAGAACCGTGAATATATATATACGGCTGACGTATATGGTCGTGCTCCTAGAGCGCTTTTCTTTCCTCAACGCGGCTTGGGTTAACACAAATGCACTGCGAAAAAAATACAGCGCAAAGGAGTAAAAGATTTTAATAAAAATTTTCTGTTTTACCAAAACCTTGGTAATACGACGAAAAAGCAAAATCCCTTAGTGTAATGGTATTAGCATACGCCCGTTATACATAACTGCCGGTTTAATAATTTAATAAAACGAGTACGAGTATTTTCCTTAATTCATGTACGTTCGTGGTCTAATAACGTTTACAGATCATCAGTTTCATCTTCCGAACAGCAAATTCTCCTTTTGTTTGTAAATCATTTTTTTCTTTTAAAACTTTATGAGTTTTTCCGACAAAAATTTTATTTCGTTTTCATCTAAACTTTTCTTGCTTTTGTTCGCTCTCCTTTCTGTCTTGGGATGTATATAACAGGAGATGAACAAGACAAAAAAAAAGCGCAAGTGGAATTCATATGTATGAAAATTGGGCGTAAAATGTCAGTTAGAAAAAAAATAATAAGAGAAGAGAAATAAGACGAAATAGAAGAAGCATCAGCAACGTAAAATTTTGCCACCCGTTACGTGCCTTAGTTTTATTTAGTGGCTTGCAAGCTGGATGCTTGGTCGCTACATTCAATATATTAATAATTGAAATGAAATGTTAAACTGAAAATACCTTCATCATGTATATGCATAGACCAGCTAAACTAACGCATATTGATGTTCAACAATGGTTAAGAAAAATATGCGTACACAAGGAATATAATTATACTTACGTAGATATGATGTGTAGCATAAATGTCGCAATCGTAAAAAAATCGAGATAAAAAATTGCTATTTGACATAGGCGTTCTTCTTTTATTTTTAATGTCTATAAGTAAGCGCGCATTTAAAGGTAAAGGAGAAAAAGCTGGAAAATTAATTTTGGAGCTAAAACAAATAGCGATCTAAATTTGTTGTTTTATAGGTTATCCAGTTCATCTTTCTGCACAGTACAAATCTGGGACAAATTTAGCAAAGCATTTTAATTAAGAAATATGTCGCACAGTCGCATAGAACAGTCTCTTTAATGAAGCAAATCAGGTGTGACTACTTAAATGAGGTGATAATAATTTTTTTTGGGAAAAGGGAAGCGGGAAGCGAATAAGAATCATGTTTACTGACTGGAAGGAATATTGAACACCTTTAGATATAGAAGCATAATTTAAAGAAAACGGGACAGGAAAACTGACGATTTTTTAATATCTGATATAGTAAGAAATTTTTAAATTTTTAAATTTAATTTTGCAAACTTGTAAAAAAAAAGGATAACTCGAGACAAAAGTGCAAAAGTTTTTGTGATAATTTATGATTTATATATTTTTTAATGTTATTACACAAAACTAAATTTTTAACTTTGCATTAAAGGAAAGGTTTAACATAGGTTTTTTAATATTGCCTCTTTTTCCAGGTACTGTATAAGCCAAGCGTTTAAGAAGCAAATTTGCTCCATTTTTGCTATTCATCTTTTCGAAATCTGCTCAATCAGCGTTCTGGGTAATTACCTGAGAGATTTTTCCTTGAAAAATCTCAAAGAAAAACTGATATCTAAATTGTAGCTTTAGCTTGGAATTCACATTTTATGTTCAATTTATTGATATCATTGATTTACCTTAATTGTTAGGAGTACTGCAACTAACGTCTAGTTCTAGCTGACATAAAACTTGATTCAGTTTAATTATACTCAATTAATAATTCCTTGCTTCAGTTTTTTTTACGCTACGGAGTGATACCATCAATAAACAAGTAAGATCCAGAGAACCTGAATAGGTTTCTTTTATACAAATTGTATGTTCCACTCTTCCTCTTTCTTGTGTATAACAAATAAATGAAAATTTGTTTGTTTTCATCTAAGTATTCCGTCGCATATTGGTCACTAAAAAACCATTTCAGTCTAGATGTTATAAGTGTCGCAGAGGAAGGATTTTTTAAGCAAAATAATAATAAATAGGGACACTCACTGAACCATTTTCTTTCTCTAAATAAATTTCCTGACTTTATCCATAGTGGTTTTTAAAAAGGAAAAATCATGAAGTTAAGGTAAAGATAGTTGAGATATTTGCCCAATTCGTTAGCCTTGACATCGATTGTTTCCATTCTTCTTGTGTTTGGGATATGCATCTAATGAAAAATTATAACCGCCGTGTAAGCCATTGCAATTGAAAAGAATCCGAAGATTTTTCAATTAAACAACAGAGTTGTTTTTTGTCAAAACGAAAATTTTCAACTTTGCCTATGTTGGTAAATTGATATAACGAAGGATTTTAAATGTTCATAGATAAGCCGCGTCTTTCTGTCAGAAACTAATGCAACCATTCACTCAAAAAAAGAAAAGTATATATATATATATATTTAATATTTGAAAAGCTTTCTCTACTACTTAATTCTTAGGGGTGTTCTTGGCGTAACAGCATTTCTGAATTATCTTTAAGAAAAGTGAAATTCTTAATTTTGAATCTATCCACTGATACAAACCAGTCAAGCCCCTACTATTTTTAATTTGGTGGGCAATATGATCAAGCAAAATATAAGAGTCTACTGCACATATGTATTATGACCGAAAAATTAACTAAATTTGTTACAGGTTCAGTATGATAATTTACGAAAAAATTAAGATATATTGTGGATATTAGTCTTCCTTGCACCCACCTTAACTCTTTGGTTCATCACTTTTGTCATTAAAAATTTGTTCAAATATGAATGAAAACGGCGAATTTCTACTGTATAGCATACCGTTCTTGAAACTTGGAGAGAATGACGATATGGATTCTAATTATGTTTTCTTGAGAGTTACCGCAGGCATGCATTCACGACTACCGCGGTATATCGAAATAATCAATAAGACAGCAGGAAAGAAGAAGTATTTCAGCCTATTCGCCATTTGTTTTGCATTTTTTCTGTTTTGTATTTAATGAAAGAAATATTATAATGAAATTTAAGAATTCATCAATTTCACTTTTCACCCACATATCATTTATACTCAAGAACTAAAAAACCCCTACTAGATATATCTGCAAATATAATTGTAATTCTGATCCGTTAATATGGTTTTGTCTTGAGAGATGTAGGGTATTGAAACTGTATCTGTATGCATCATGAATACTTATAATATTTACTGTTTGTAAATTTTACACACATTTCTTCGACGATATTGATTTTTCAAACTTTGAAATGTTGATGGTATGAAATTTTTTTACGTCCATATATACATACACGTTTAAGGGAACTTCGATATATCTACTAATATACATAAATACATATGTATACCCAATTACGGATATGGTAAAGCATAAGTATACCAACAACACCACATAACATACTTACACATAAAAACTAAGTTTTTGTTTTTCATATTTTCTTCTTTTTTTTTGTACGATTTTATACGTATGTAAGTGCATACATATTTTGTTGTTTACTGTTTAGCATTGACTCATAATTATGTAGACACAAACGAACACCAGCACACATTTAGGAATCGAATTCCTTATAACTTTAATCAAATTTAATTTAACAGGACCTCAATATAAGATTATAATCGAAATTTAGAAAAAAAAAAAAAATTTAATTATCGTTTATTTACCTGCAACTTAAATGTAATTATGTGTATGAGACTTTTTGTCTTTTCTATATTTTTATGTGATGATGTGTGTGATTGTTGTATCGTCGTTCGTCTTCTTTTCTTGCAACAGTAGTAGTAAAAAGAAAAAAAGACGTTTTCTTCTTTAACTTGTTTCCGACTTTCTCACGTATAAAACTTTTCCAACATAATTTCACTGTTATATTTCCTTTAACTGTATAAATAATAATGTACTAAATGTATTTTACATTTACTTTAACTTTACTTCTAATTTTATAAAAACACTTAAAGTGCATTTGTTTCAATTGGAATTAATTATGTTTCTCTCTCAGTCGCGAAAAAACTTTAATTGCACTTTGGTATTGCCAGTAGTGAAGAATTTTTATTAAAATCAATTCATATGGCATTTTTTAATACTTCATAAAATATTCATACCAATTTTTCTCATGCAATTCTGTTAATTTTTATATAAATATGCCTAATTTCGATATATTTTTACTTTACCAATAAAGCGGACTTCACAAATAGCAGAGACGCGGATGTAAAAATTAGTAGTAGTTAATTATTAATAAAATAGCACTATTCGATTCAATAAAGTTTTTAGAAAATTTTAAAAATGTTGCCAGCAGCAAAATAAATAATTTGAAAAAACTTTTACAACAAATACAGCGTTCTCTCAGCTTTCTTAGCATTTATTTTAAGGAATGTGCAACAAACTCTGTTTTATTTGAGTGAATTGAATTTATTTCAAATTCAAAAAATTTCAACCTTGGTTATTTTCAGACACAAGCGACTTGATTTTATTCAAATTCAAAGAAAAATTTGTTGCTTATGAGTGTTTTCATTCATTTCACATTAACATCATAAATTTATTAAAAACAACTCTGTGCTGAACATATGGTACTTGCATCAATTCACATCGGTTAAAGCCAAGTACTTGAAAAGGGAAACTGATAATAGAAGGATTTGTGATAAGAATGTCTGCCGAAATAAAGCCTGCCCAACGAAACAATATTCGCTTTAGCACCAGGAAGCCTGAATTATTAAGCAAACTAAAAGGGAGCGGTGATGATATCAATGCCGCCATATTAATACCCGGTGAAAGTGGAGTAATCAGCGTATCATACCATAAGTAAGTGATGACGTCAACATCCGTAAACTCTCTTCGCTTTCACTGTGAGCTTAATTTAATTAAATTTTCAAAAGTATTGTGCTTAATATACCGCATTTCACAGAAGTCTGAGGATATGGTTAAAACGTGATTCCCGGCAGTATTGGCCATGAATTTGTCATATAGATGTTAAGATAGGTCGATGTACATAGATACGTTTAAACCATTGACCGATATTAAAAAATCACCTGCTCGCAAACCAGCCTGGGCACAGAATCTAGCGATTCGGAGATAAGTAGCGACATTGGGGATGAACCGTACAATTACTATGGTACATGTGACCTGATCCGTCGAAAGAATCCCAAAAAGAAACCACGTGTGGATGAGCGGTAAAAAGTTTATAATAAAATATATTGTCTTTATTCATCATAATGTACATGCAGAAACAATGAAAATCCATGATTTATAGAAAAAATTTAAGAAATGTTTCGCATGTTCCGTCAAAATAACTTTAATCTGAGAAAAGCATAAAAAAAATATATTAGATGTTGATATGCGCTTCATGAAAAACTTACATTAAATCTGAAATCCTGTTTAGAATCTTGCAATTTTTCTATTAAAACTGGCAATTTTATGGGAGGTAGTGACCGTTTTGAATTGCTCCCGAAAGATGGCGTACAATTCGCAAAGCCAAAAAACAATCCTTAAGGGGGGCTTTTTAATTGATAGAGCGTCCATAGATAACCCATTTAAAACTTCAACGGCAACTCAAAGGTTTGGTTCGACAAATTTTGCCATTGACCTCTCCTTCAAACCGCATACCGATAAGAAGATGACTTAAAGAACACTGCAATTCCTCTAGGAACTGCTGATGAAAAAAAAAAGGGAATACCAAGCCGCAAAATATTGAGAATGTTCAGCTGCCACGCCCATAGCGGCCCCGTTGGGTCCGGGAATACAATTGGGACATTGATCTGCCCCCCCCCCGACATATAGAATGTTTTATCCGCTGAATTTATAACCTTACATCAAATTGTTTAAAGATATAAAAATTCGTAAAGTATTTAGAGATCTCAATTACAACCGTGCAATAATATATTTTATTTTTTTCAGACGAAGGAACATATTGTGGAAAAGTATGGAGGTGAAGAACATTGAAGAACATTTGCAAGCACCACCTAAATCGCTACTGTTGGCCCAAACCGAAGATTATATAGAGTATTCGCGTAGCGGCAAAGGAATGGAAAAACCAAAAGCTCGTAGTATATATGAGAATATTTATCTTAGTAATATCTTAGTAATATATAAACTGGGATTATCTGGGAAAAATGAAAATCTCATATTAATCTCATGTTAATTCTTTCCATATATTCATACAAGTGCTTGAAATGTAATATATAATCTTGTTTATATAAATGAATTATGCTGATTTTACATAATTCTGTCACACTTTAAACATAACACATAACAACAATATGCGATTACACTCCAAGAGAAACTCGTACAGCTAAAGCAATTTATTAATCTTTCTTATTAAGGCTTTCTAAAAAGGGTTAAAACAGAGTTATTATAAATTTTATTAATTATATATCTACATATATATATATATATATTATATATTACAATATAATTTTTTTTTAAATATTAATACGTGGTACGCATCTTTTATACATTGTTTGTATATAGATTATTATTGAAATATAATTCTTCGAATCTATTTGTCATATATGCCATCAAGAGGTACAGGCATTGGTTATGTCAAAGATACCTGTCAACTGTAAATAGGCGAAGAAAATGGCACTACGACATATATATACTGTAGTGTGATCGCATACCGTCGTATGCATCCACTTTGACGTGCGACTTATGCTAAATTTGCATAATTCTGTAACAAAAAAAAAAAAAAGTAAAACAAAAATTTTGTCGCACTTCAACTGGCTGGGTATTGCATTACGAAATGCAATACGATGCCAGGCGCCCCAATCAAAACAATTACTATTTGTTTACGTTAGCATAATTTAGTGTAATAATTCGTGTATAAATAGCCAGGCAAGAATTGAATAAAATGAATTGTTTGACAGCAATTCAATCAAGCGTATTAACTCGCTGTTTTATTAAGGCGTTAAATCCGCCTAAGCTTAAAGTTAGGGAGCGTCTCTTGCCGAGCTTCATTGGCACTGCATGAGACGGTTAGAGTTGGCGTACTGAAGCCGAGCAGCTTAGGGCTAAACTGCGGTACACTTAATATAAACTAAACGTTCATTTATAATTCACAGTACGTCAATCAATTTTTTCTACAATACTTTTTGAAGATTGCAATCGCCTCCTATCATTTGTGCGTATCAGCTTCGCATCGTAAATGTAATCTTTTCTCAGGCATATAGCTTTGAAAAATGTCCAAGTAAAATCAATTGATATTTGCTAAATTTTCAAATTTTCGTTTCACTTGGTTTTTATATACAATAAAAAAAATTTATGTAATCAGAAAATCTGATATGCCACAAGTGTCTGGGGTCCTTAGCAATCTTTTGACCGCTTACCTCTTCGCAAATGTCATCTTCCTTCAGTGTTAGATCTCGTAAGCACTCTTGCCATTCTAGTTGCTCACCGGTATATCGCACGATTCCGTATTCTGTGCGCAGCCGCAGTTAGTCTTCTTCTGCATTGTTTAGATAGCCTGTGAAGAGATCGTCGAAGGATATCTCAGCGTGGTGGAATGGTGAAAACTTTTCTTCGGCCTGGACAATTTTGTAGTCCATTTTGTCGGTGAGGTAGTAGTCATCCGTCCTGAAACCGCTTGCCCACTTAGCCACCTGTTGGTTCGTCAGTTTTTCGATTAATGCTGAAATTTCCATTGATGACCTCGTTCTTTTTTTGGCGGTGGTGTCTCATCTTATAGCGAAAGCCTTTCCGAGAGGTCCTGGCTTACGCTGTACGACACGATAATTGTGCTAAGGTGAGCCTCCGCTAACTCATCTATTAAATGAATGAAATTGGTTATAATGAACCATGTGTCCGCCGATAAGAGGTCTGGCCTTAAATGTGCCTTCAAATAATTGCCGACGTCTTTTAATTCGGATTTGAACTCCTCCCATGTGATGCTGGTTATGAAGGTCTGGTGGAAAAGGTTCGCGAACGTGGTAAGCATGGCGGTCATGTAGCAAGCGCTATGCGTGCCGAATGCAAGGACATATCCATTAATTGTCACTTGAAGTGTTGCTGGATTTATGTTATTATAGAAATGCATCGTAGGGGCAGTCGTCCACGGTGTTGACCTTGACGGCATGCAGCCTCTCCGCGCCCAGAATCTAAAGTTGGGCGTCTTCGTACTTAGTTGGATTGCCGATTGTCTGTTTAAATTTACTCACGAACGCACACAGGATGTGTAATCGTATAGTAGGACTATGATGTGTATGTTGCCGTGTGCCCGCCTTCTATTGTAGCCTCTATATCTGAATCGGCTTGCAGCATTCTTGTTATTCCAAATCCATTCTTTTGCGTATCGCAGATACGCCCACATTGGTTAGCGAACGGTGCTCTATTGACATTTTAATATCTTCAACTTATACCTAAAATCGTCTTTAACTTAAATAAAACTCTCTTAGCCGTTACTGTTTTATTTGCTTCGTCAGTTTGTCAGGTGTCACCTGATACTGTTTTTCCCATCTAAAGGTATTTTTTTAAATCCTACTAAAAACTTCGTCTGGTATATTCGCCACATAAGCCTTAGTTATGAATCATTTGTAATAAAGTATAGAATAAAATTATATTATATTATTATTATTATAATTTTAGACTAATGAAATAAATTCTTAGACTAAAAAAAAGAAAAGACATTGAGCACTAGCAACACACGCTAGCGGCTCAGAATAAAATTATAAAAGTAATAAAATATAATAAATATGTATATATAATAAATAAATAATAAGAGACGAACCTGAAAATAAATGGAATAGACCAATTATACAATGCAATGTAATGAATGTAAAATTTTATAAAAAAAGAACTCAAAAAAAGTTTTTTGGAATTTAAAATCTTTTTAAAAATTATTGAAAACCAAATATACGCTTATTCTCAAAAGGCACCATACTTTATACGCTTATTCTCTAAAGGCACAATAGATTATACAAATATATGTTCAAAAAATATTTTTCTGCACTGTTGGCTGCACGTGCCTGTCGATGTTCCACTCCACCATGTGGAGTGTTTGTAATCGATAGCACTGGAAATCATAAAATAATACATGTGCCTCGTATTAAATGCCATATTTCAATAGCAATTCTACTTAACAAGCTTGAAAACGTCCCGTGGTATAAAAGATATCCATTCATTTTGAAATTTCCTGTATATAGGTTATATGCATACGTTGCTTTTTATTGCTTAACAAAAGTTTTATGAATTTTAATAAATGTTTTCCAACATATATTGCCAGCAGGCTGGACAGAAATAAACGCGTTCTACACCATCATTATCTTTTTCATATTTATTGACACAGTTCTTGTGTTGCCATAGGCAGCATTTGGTACACGAAATCAAATTCCGTTTGGAATCCGAATTACATACGCAAAATACTTCTTTTACCATTCTTTTACGTTTTGCTGCTGAGTTTTGTAAGAGTGATTCTATGAAACTGGGTACCTGTACATTTAAGCGCGGATGGAGTACTATTAATGCTAGAATTTCCACGGTTTTACCGGCAATACGAGGCAATACGATATCGGCCGGTCTCTCTATCTTGTGCGTCTCTGGCTTGGAGTTTAATGAAATAGGCGGGAAACTATGCACATGTTGTTCTCTTTGCAGAAGCCAATGAATGGTGCGTTCTTAGTACTTGCATAGTGAAGGTAAAAATTTGGCAGGTAATTTTAATGCTTCTTGAATATTAGTCTCAAAAATAAGGTGATCTTTCTTTAGAGCTTCAAAAAGTTGAATTGTTACGTTGGTTTTTAAGACCTTTTCACTACCACCATTTCTATACTTAACATGGTGTAGGCTAAGTAAAAAATTTCTAGAGGCAAAACTTAATATAACCTGCACACCGTTGGAAAGGCTATTAATAGAAGATTCACTCTGTGCTAGTGTCATTTTTTCAAGGGACATGCAAACTTTCGCTTTATCAACCTCATTTATGGCATAGTGTAACCAAGTTTTGGTTGGAATATTAATTAATTTACAAAAAGTCATGTTTTGCTTATAATAATTTGCAAAAAAATTCTCGAAAAGTTCCATTTTATTTGTATTTTGAGTTAAATCCCTCCGAGACTTCGTTTAACAGAATTCTGTTAATGGCTTTACAAAGCTCTGTACAAAATTTTAGTTGGTGTCTTTGCTATTTATATTTAAATATAACTTCATACCCTTGCTCGTCGGATAGTTGAGCACGGTGACTTGTCTTGCCTTTTCTAACGACTTTTTTCCATTCTTTTTTCTTTCCATGGTATGTAGGTATTATTATTGTTATTATTATTATTTTAATTTTAGACTAATGAATTGAATTCTTAGAC